ATGCATACAACTATATGAGAAAGTGATATCACTATCACTAATGTGATATGATTAAATATGTGATTAATACATGAGAAAAGAAATCTGCCACCACAATTATAAGTGAATAAAAGCTAAGTATTAGGAAAATTATTTAAGACACACTTAAGACAGCAAAAAGTGCCTCAAAAAACACAAACTATAGTGCTTTAATAAATGTTACAATCCTGCAAAGAGAAACTATAAACGGTTTATAATGTTGTGGAAAGGTTTTCATGGACAATCCAGGATTATATATCATCTTTATTTCTTATCCATACCTGCAGATTAGTCCAATAATGAACAGGCTGATGGCAGTGAGATCACATTTATTCCACAGATCCTGAAATTAGAGTCTGAACCTTTGAGGTCAAAACATTGTCCCCAAAACAATTTGTCTTGAAGAAGACAAAATAAACTTAACAGATCATTAGAAAACAAAAACTACAATAACAAACAACTATCAACATACTTTATTATGATAATAATGCTTATACGCATATTTATACATGCACCTTGAAGTCCCTTAATTCAGTTTTTCAAAGTGCACAATAATCATAGAAAAACAAATGATAATACAGAAAAAGACTTTCTGTGTGCTGTCACAGAAAGTTTAAAGAATTTAAAGAATAGCTAAAAATTCAAAGAATGAGATTTTAATTTATGATATATTATTTAATCTTCTGTGTGTTTGTTAACTCATATGAAATCAGTGATAAATGAAAAACATTCTATATATTTATTTATTTTAATGTCCATCTTGACATGACAGTATGCTAACCACTGTATTGAAATGGCATTTTAGATATATTGTCTTTCAACTACGTGCAATTCGATAAAATATTTGAATTAGGTGCATATTATTGCATTCAATTGTTCACTTGATATTTTATACACTTACCAAACTTTTTGGTGAACAAAGTTCTAAGTAAGATGTCTCTCTACACTCTCCTGTCGGATCTCCTCACAAACAAGGGTGAATATCCAGAAGTACAACACACACTCAGTAGCAGGTGGACCTGAGGGGGGTGGAGGCTTGAAATCCACCAATAGCGAAAAGCAAGAGAAACAACATTGCCCAGAAATGAGGTGACCAGTGCAAACCAGAACTGACGCCAGCGTGAAGCTATGAATGGACAGCACACCTGTATTAAACACAGATTAGCAGGTAACTAAAACGACAGCATGTGGTGAAAAATAATTTCTGAAGTCAGACTTTCTTCTTGTAGTGAGTGACAACACTTATTCAAAGATTATTCTCTAAACAGGACTCACCTTTCATGGCACCACTCCTGTGACCTTCTGAGTCAACTTCACTCGTGTAACAAAAACATTTTGAGTAAATTAGTAGACTTTAGCTAATGTAAAGTGATAACATTATAAAACAGAATAATCACTGCTTAACAAACTGATGCTCTACAGACTAACACTGAAGTGTGCAAGTAGAAATATTACAGGTGCTTGATGTCAGAGAAAGAGAAGACTGTGGTTCCATAGAGACTGTTAGTGTCCTGATCCAGCTCATCCTCATAGCAATTCCCTCCTCCTCCTCCAGCTGATCACTTTGTTTTCTATGACTTAAAATATGTAGAACACGTTTTTTTTTAATATCTGCATAAAAGTACAACCTTTCTGAAAAAACACAAGCATCTTACCTGAAGGAGATGAGGTTGGTGTAGCAGAGGATCGGGCAGAAGAACGCGAGCAGAAGCTTCCAAATCTCTGTTTTCCTCTTCATATCACCCCACCAGATCTGGAACAGCAGAGACTGGAAGAGCACAGCAACTGAGACCTTGTCCACCACCAGTAGCTGCTTTACTCAACATGAAGGTGGCCTGTGTTATTTTGGAAGCATCATGCTACCTTTCTTTTGTAATACTCATCTGCTATTTGACATGATGACAACAACATGAAGAAAAGATGTGAAAATTGTGATGAGCCTGTTAGCCATCATAAAGGAAAATTCAAAGGGCTCTTTGTGAAAATGGTTATGAAACTAAATAGAAAATAATTATAACATCAATAATAGCTGACAGCTTTAGTTATTGTCTCACCACCAGCCAGGTTCTCAAACTTCTGGCGTTCCTCCCCTTGGACAGGAAGGAACGCCGCTGGTTTGAGCGCAGAGTCAAAGAGGACATTTACGTGAAAAGGGAAAGACCATCTCTGAATCGAGGAGGGGGCCTAAGGGTACATCTTTCGCCATCTTACAATGCTGTGATTGCAGCCATTCCCCAACTCTCTGTGAATGGTACTCATGACCATTGATCAGTGGTCTTTGATCAGTGGGTTTTGGTCAGTGGTTGTTGATCAATGGTCATGAGAATTTGCATAATTAAGATTAAGGAACTGACCTCCCAGCCCATTGTTCCTTCAGTGGGCTGGTTTCAGTCATTATGCAAATGTGCTGTTTATAAGATTGGGGAAACCTGCAGTCAGCTGAGACTGAAGAAGTCACTTGGATGAGTGACGAAACGTTTCTCCCACAAAACGCTACGTCCAGATGAACAGAATCAACTTTTTGGAGAATAATCTTGCATAGGTGTGGGGTGCCTCAAGATGCTTATACAAGAGATGCAGGAGTGTGACAACAGCATCATACAGTGAAGTGTCACTGTCCATATCGGTCAGCCATGTCTCGGTAAGCGCCATCAGACAAGCCTCCCTGTATTCCTGTAGATGAAGCACATTCCCTTGTAATTCATCCGTTTTGTTCCTAAGAGATTGGACATTGGCCAGAAACATAGAAGGCAGAGGAACACGATTCTTCCTCCGAATCCTCACCAAGAATTATATCTGTCCGAGCATTAGAAGAGTCGTACATAGACAAACAGGACCACCGTAATCCAAGTAGTTCCTCGTGTGTATAAGTAATTGTCAGTGAGAGTGAATGACTCCAGGTGAATATCGCCAACAACAATAAAACTAAGGTGTAGAAGATCTCCATTTCGGCAAAAAAAACTCATAAAAAGTTAAAACCATGGTTAAGAACAGAGTCTCGGTCGTTGTGTCCTTGGGCAAGACACTTCACCCGTTGCCTACTGGTGGTGGTCAGAGGGCCCGGTGGCACCAGTGTCCGGCAGCCTCGCCTCTGTCAATATGCCCCAGGGTGGCTGTGGCTACAATGTAGCTTGCCATCACCAGTGTGTGTAAATGGGTGGATGACTGGATGTGTAAAGCACTTTGGGGTCCTTAGGGACTAGTAAAGCGCTATACAAATACAGGCCATTTACCATATTATCTACTGTTCTTCCACTGATTCTAAGGTCTGTTTCGGGATATCTTATTTGGACTCTCTGACCCAGAGACTTATAGAAAACCATTATCATGTGTATGTAAGCGTGCAGCAGAAAAGGACCCTCAAGCGCTTTATGTCCACTCTTCAATATTTCAGCCCAGTCACCCACTCAGTCTTCGCCAACGAGTTGGCGCTCCGTGACCCTCAAAACACGGAGCGCCAACTTGCTATGAGCAGAATTGCTTTGTGTATAAATGAAATAACTAAAACAGCTTTATTTAATCATTTAAATCTAAAATCAAAAATTTTCAACCCTAACACAGGTCAACTGTAAAAAAGAATACCTTCATGGCTTAACTCCCTCCTTGGTCTGCTCTGATTGTTATCTGCCATTACTTTTGAGGATGAACTCTGTTGTTCTGATGATGCTCGTGCAGATGCCATATTTTTCTATAGGCAGTGCTGTAGTAGCTGAAAGAGCAATACAGACTTTCCAGCTTGCAGTTAGGTAGTCCACAATGTTCAAACCATTCTCAGTGAAAAACCGAACAAACTGGGGCTCGTCACTGATCAGGCCATCTGTCATTGAGTCTTAGAATCTCCGTACTGTTTAATTGGAGGAACGTAAGATGATGTTTTAAGACAGGTAAATATTTTTTACGCCAAATATTCCTCTGCAAATCACATTTAAACTGATCTATCTGTCAAAATTGATATAACTGCACATTATTAATTTACTTATTAGTGTTTCTTCCAGTGTAACAACTATGAGAAATTTGTTTGCCTCCTCACCTTGCACGGGATGTCGCCATCAAAGAGTTCACTCTTGGCAATGTCTACCCTGTTCACTGTGACTGCTAACTTCAGTTTATCACTATAAGGGTTGGCCTTAACTAATGCACGCGGCTTACTTACTAGAAAAATCACAAACACAACAAAAATTTAAATAAGGATAATAAGTTTATGCTTCTGTTATGCTGTAAAATTATGGTCTATTTATATGTATCTTGCACAAGTGTTTTAAGCAGGACAGTGTCAAAGTCATTTGGACTCTCGTGCTCTCCATGCTAGACTAATCAAACCTCTATTAAATTCTAAAAGCCTGGTGACAGAAGATGGGAAAAAGGAACAGGAATGTTGGACACACACCTGCAAGATGACAGGGACAAGATGTAGGAGACCAAGTACAGATACTTTTTCTAAAAGTTTTTTTTTTTCAGTGAAATATGTTTCGCTTAGTTAAAATCAAAATAACTGCAATTCTGACAGAAGTCATTGTGCACACGTATTTCAATGGCCTTCGCCTTTTCTTCAACTTCATTGATGGTTAACCATTACACATTTGATTCAAAAAACAGCCAAATCTTTTAGACGGATTGAGTTTAAACAGGTCTGTTTACTCTTCTTTGTTAGCAAATGGCATGGGTTATGTAAGGTTAATAACAGTGTGAACAAAACATTGGCAGCTTCACAGGTTTTAAACCACCACAGAATAAAACTGGGGACTTTTGTGTTAAAGTTCATTGTTTACGCACTTTTTGTGAACTAGAATAGAAAGCTCTCAAAAGCTCAGACAGCTTGTCCTAGTTAAGTGTAACAAATGCAGATGAGGACTCCACCCATATATGTATCATTTCAAAAGTTCCAGAGAAACTTCCAGAGAAACTTCAAGAAAACTTCCAAGAATTAAAAAAAGACAATAAAACTGCAGAAACAGTCACAAATAATTTTAGATGTCATTTAATAAAACCAAGAAAGTCACAGTTTTCTTCATGTTCAAGCAACACAGTACAGTATTAAGGGCATAAGCAATGTGTCACCCACATGTAGCTCTGGCAGCTCAACATGGACATGGAACACATCTCAGTTGCTCAGACCATATGGCTTTGCAAAATGAAAACATGTCGATGTCACTGCTTAAAGTAAACGTTGCATACACGAGGTGCATTCATCATACAGACTCAAATCTGACAACAGGCAAAAGCTTTGTCACAGGTAGCCATAATCAAGAGATAGTGTTGAGAGATAAGATCGGAACAGAAGTAGCCTTGAACTTAATAAGTTGTTCTTCATACTTTTCGTGATTATGTCAAACACAAAGAGCTACATTAGAAATCAGTCAGTTTTAGTTAAATGGGAAAAGAACGGGCGCGCTGAGGTGAGGCAACGGGTTGATCGGCAAAGTTCTTGATGACATCCTCTTTCTATTTTAGCTCCAACTCCAGCCCAGTACAAGACTGAGAAGTAGCAGGCTCAGGGAGAAGCAGGTTGTGGAGGCGGAGGCCTTGATGCTCTGAGTCCAGACTTTCTGTGCAGGCTGCAGGCTTCTGTAGACGTTTATCATGATTGGTGATGAACTGTCGTTGAAGTGCAGTGTGGTGCTGAAGAGGTCAATCTGGTCATGAGACATATTTTGTTTCCAGTTAGCTGTATGAACCACTAACGGTGCATCTGTGCTCACAGCAATGACAATTAGGAGACACAAGGAAGAAATGAAATAACACCTACTAGATCTTTACTGACTTTAATTGGTTCCTTAAAAACGGTCCAGACCACCGCCTCCTGACAAGCGGGGGTCGTCAAGGATCCAAGGTAGCGGTAATACTTAGTGCGATCCACACCGACAAGCAGGTCGTCCAGGGAAAACCCGGCTGCAATTGAAACGTTCTGGCCTGAGGACAGAAACAAGACTTACATGAAGGAACTACGGGTGACACAATTTAGAGTCAGAAAGAGAAGAGGAGGTTTTCCACCAAAAAAAGTCACCTTTTTCTGTGATGTTGGGCAAGTAAGAAGCCAAATTGCGCCAGCTATCCGGCTGGCCAGTTGAGTTGCCTGACATTACCTGGAAGAAAAAGAAAGGGGTATTGACGCATTCTCCATAACAGACAGGCAAGAGATCCCCCCCCCCCCCCCCCCCCAAATAAATAAATAAATAAAAAATCGAGTGAGGCCTCAATACTGAACAACACAGTAAGCATTACGTCATCTCGTGCACTGCTTCTCTCACCTCGATAAAGAAACCAAGCGCTGAAAGTCCGGTGGAGTCTTTGACGGCTAGATTTGTATTTCCATTGTAGGATGACTTGCTGTTCACAATATGCAGCTGCGAAAATGAAGTTATACAGACGTTTGCTTGTTTATTTCTGTTGGGTTTTTTTTTTTTGTTTGTTTGTTTGTTTGTTTGTTTTTTTACAGATTTAAAATTAATATATTCAAAAATACACCAAAATAACAAGAAAAAAAATGTGTACCTCCATAGGATAGCGCTTTCCATCCACTGTGTGCTCTGAGCCGGGGACAGAGGAGCCGTTGCCCCAGTGCAAGTGAAACTGGAGGCTGTCGTATTGCTCGGACAGGTCCCCTCCTGAAATCTTAACTCCGCTCTTAAGGGTCACTTGGACTGAAAGAAGGTGAAAAAACAAAAACACGATAAAGTTACACCTAACCTGCGAGGAGTCAAAGGAAAAATTCAGGCGCAAGGCCAGTGCGTTTAATTGCAGAAAAGATGAGGGCGCTAAAATCCAAGTGAGATACAAAGTTTACAGAAACCCCATGACAACACACTTTTGTAGCCACAAACTCCCGGTGCTCACCTGTGTCGCCAGTATTTGTCATTGACGTCATTGCGGAGGTGTCGTCATACTTCACAAAAGTGAATTCAGTCAGATTGGCGTTCGGTGTGGCTGATGCTGAGACGATGTCAATGGGTGACTGTCGGGTGCCGTTGCAATACTCCGGGAAAATTGTTGGCCAGGTTGTGTCATCTATAAACAGAAAGGACACGTAAAGTCACCGAGGAGGGGTCACTCGGTGGGCAACATTATAATAGATAATGGAGATATTGGGTACTTACTGCAGGATGGGAGGTGATAACACCAGGCTGGATGAAAAAAAAAGAAGGGGGTGGAAAAAACAGAACATTTAGATTCACATAATTAGAAATTCAGTGTAACAGTAAATTCCTAAATGAAGTACACACCTTTTGATTGGGAGTGAGCGGTGGGTACGAGGACGCACACAGCAAGGGTAACAACTTCAAACCACTTCATCTGAAACGAACAAAAAGCCACATTGTTTGGAATCGCATATATTTAAAAAATAATAATAAATTAAATTAAATCAAAATAATCGGAAAAAAATGTACAACACAGAAAAGAATAATTAGTTAATTAATATAGTATTCCGATTCTGCATGAATGAATGAATTCATTAATTAACAGGTTACTATATGGAGTGACAAATTTACCTTTATATAAACTTTGACGATTAATTTCTAAAAGTTAACCAATTTTATTTGTAGTGCTGCAGTTTGCTTTTAATAGAGAAAAGAATGCAACAAATGCAGGTTTCTGACTGTAGCCTAATTTTTTTCTTTTGTCCACTTCACCTGAGCAGCACAGTGTCTTACCTTTGATGCACCTGTGCGTCCGTTCAGCCTGTTTTCAGATGCAGCTCACCTCTTTTTATTTCCTCAGTGCATCTTGCAGCTGGCCCGGCTCCACCTCCATGGGACACGTGAGTAGGTCTTTATCTCTCCGCAATAATTTCGCGGAAGTACGACGGGGTATTATGGCGACTTTAATTTAAAAAAAAGAAAGAAAAATCGACCTTTTTAAGAATAAAGTCTACATTTCGAGATTAAAGTCGTAATTCTGTTTTGAGAAAAAAAAGTGGAGATGTATGTCGTTATTTCAAGACAAACTGGCGAGTTAGTGAAATCGTATTTCAGAATCGGTTTTCGTAACAAGGAAAGAAATCTTTTTTTTCTTTTAGCACATTAACAAATTGTGGTTGTCATTATAAGGACGTTGAAAAGATGAAGAAAGCTGCATCTTGGTCAGACAAAAAACCCAGACAACTTATGGTTATGATGGTTACAGCCTCATGGAATAAAGAGGATGCATGTTTTATAACAAGACGGCTGATCAGTTTCAACAAGGCATTTTGTAAATGGTATATGTCATCCAGGGAAGGACGGATGTTGTTTTACTTTGCTGTGTTTTAATGTGAAGTGTGCTTATTTATTTTTTATATTGCATGTTTTGGTTATATCTTGTGGAGTGTTTTATTTATCCTGCATGTTTTGGTTGCATCTGTCAATTTGTCCTGGAGA